CACAAAGGTTAAGTAAACCAGCCCACGATCACACAGTTAGGAAGTGTCAGAGTTAAAATTTGCAAAACTGAACCAGGATCTACATGGCACCAGAACCCAATGCACAACAAAACTACTACTATGCACAAAGGGGCACTATTATGAAATTTCAGAATGCTGTACCGAAAAGTCTGTTTGCTTTTTTAAATGATATGCAGATTCCGGGCCTTGGCCACAGACCAGTGGGAAAGCTCATAAAGACATCTGTTCCTACCTCCCCATTCAACTTTCTCCTCTCCAATATCCTACCCCCAAAATTCAACCTAACTTTCTATTCCATCTTCCACCTTTACACAAACAGTGGTCTGCACTCGGGTTCCCTTCCCTGCACTGGAGTCAGGAAAGGTGCTTCCATCTTTAAGTCTAGGGAGAGTGACGCTCCGCTCGCTTCCCATTCTCATGGAGCACAGTCTTCCATGGTTTGATATCGAACACGAAATCAGTCACCTAGGACATTCTGCCCACCTCTATCATTGTTCTTCGGTGGTTCAGTGGTAGAATTCCTGCCTTCCATATGGGAGTTACACCTCCAGCCAATGCACCTCAAATGCAGCCAGCATCCATCTGTCAGGTGAAGACCTGTGCATTGCTATGATGCTGAATGGGTTTCAGCTGTTTCCAGACTAGAATAGACTAGGAAGAAAGGCCTGGTGACTTACTTCTAAAATTCAGCCGATGAAAACCCTATTGATCTATCAAAATGGCCCAACCAGAACTGATTCACAACAATGACATCGAGCAGGGCAGTGTTTTGTTCAATTCTGTTGTGCTTTGTATGGTAGTGTTTTGTTCAGTTCTGTTGTGCTTTGTATGATAGTGTTTTGTTAAGTTCTGTTGTGATTTGTATGGTAGGGTTTTGTTCGGTTCTGTTGTGATTTGTATGTTAGTGTTTTGTTCAGTTCTGTTGTCCTTTGTATGGTAGTGTTTTGTTCAGTTCTGTTGTGCTTTGTATGGCAGGGTTTTTTTCAGTTATGTTGTCCTTTGTATGGTAGGGTTTTGTTCAGTTCTGTTATGCTTTGTATGGTAGTGTTTTATTAAGTTCTGTTGTGCTTTGTATGGTAGTGTTTTTTTGGTTCTGTTGTGCTTTGTATGGTAGGTTTTTGTTCTGTTGTGCATTGGATTGCCATGTGTCGGGGCAAGCAGCTAATAGCAACAACGTGGTGGGTTTTCAGCCATGTGGAAAATCTGAAACCAGTCCTGATATGTCTGAAAATAAGACCGTCACACATTGAAAATCCTAGGCCCCAAATGCTTCTTCTTTCAAAGACTTCAGTGATACTACTTTTTGCACTCTGCCTCCAGTGTTTCTGTTGGGAAGTGAATGTAAACCTGATACTTCTGATTTTGCTTCATGTTTCCAAGTGAGTCTTTTATTTGCCCAAGTAACAACATTGTACATTCCCGTGCCCCTTGATCCACGGGGCCTGATGCCATTGGCCTCTGTAGTCTATCATCTGTTGTTCCTTCGGATGCTACTTCTTTTTGAATAGGTCATGAGTATTTAAAAAAAACAAACACTGGGAGTTTTTCCATATTACTCCTGAGCCCACCAACTGCTTTCACTTCTGATGACAACATGAGTGGCCCGTTGACAAGGGGGACCCAACTGGTGTCTTCATGGTCAAACACGGGAGACAGGAGTGAATACCTCTATTACAGCTCTCAGGCAATTGTCTTCCCTGGCATCCACTGCTCCTTAGAATATACTACCCAGTTCCTCTATGTCAGGAACTGCTTTCTAACTGGGGTCGGGGAGACCACACAGGGGCCCACTGGCCATCTGTGACTGGCATAACCAATATCGATGCTGAAGTCAGCATGTCAAGGACAAAGGCTATTGTCATCAAATCCTCTATGATTCGGAGCCCTGGGTGTCTCATTGTCTGTCCTGATCTGAAAACACTAATCAGTGCTGAAAATGCAATGTTGAGCACATAATCCAAGATCCTAGTTTGCAAACACAAGAGACAAGGCTCCTTCAGCTCCTGTTCTATCCTGGACCACTGAGACCACAGGTCCCACTCTGGGATGACCCAATATTCTATCGAAAAGCTTAAGCCCTTACCTTCTCTCTTCTCTCCCCACACTCCTCAGTCCTCCCCTGCTCCAGGCCCCCATGTTCTTTAGAGGGTTTCTCTCTAGGATGTTGTTCAAGCCTGCCTCTGATTCATCCGGACTTCCCTTGTCTTTGCAGGCTTCAGTGCAGGGAAAGGGGTCAGAAGCCTAGCCTCCTCTAGAATCACCCCCTAGGGATACACCCTATGGACCCCCAAGCCCACCTAGAAATTCTGCACCAGGCTATAGGAGATTCTGCCCCAGGCCAGCCTTGCCAGAGCAATCAGGGTTAGAATCTGTAGCTCCAGTACCTTAACAGAATGATAACAGGTGGCTGGAACAGAGGGTGAGGCGTTATCTTCCAGGTCACTCCCCCAGGTAGGCTGCACAAAACAAGGCCAGGTAGTTCTCAAAGGAAACAAAATCATCCTAATTTCCAACGATGATGATATACACCCTGGTTATGTTTTCCTAATGCCCAATCCAATAGATAGAAGTTCGTCAGGCTTCGAAGTGCCTATATTTCCCTATCACTCCTTTATACAGCATAACCAAAATTTCAGAAAGCAAATCGGGTGGTATAGTGGGTTACACAAATTCAGGTGTTCAAACCTACCACCAGTTGCCCCACAGGAGGAAGATGGGGCTTCTGCACACACACTGATCTGCAGTCTCAGAAACACAGCGTAGGGCTGCTGTGAGTCAGAATCAACTCGGTGGCAGTGGGTTGTTATTATAACCTTTAGAACTATGAGTGAAAGGAAAATTCTTTTTTTTTAATAGTAACAAGTCATGCTCGCCCCAAGTAAACTAATTTCTCTTCCCCTGCGAAAACAGCAGACTCTTAGTTATATTATTGTTATTAATGTCATGCATATTTATTTGCAGAAACAATACTTGGTTACAGAAGTCTGTAAAATGGTATATAAAGGGCCTTCCTTACTGTTAATTTTTTTACATATGTTAACATGCTTAATACATGGATATTTGGGGGTACCTCTATAATCATCAGCCTCATTTCACAGATGAAGAAACTGAGGCATATAAAAATTTTGGTGTTCTTCAACATCCCTCACTGACCCATAGCCCTACAGGGGACAACACTGGAGACACAGTGCAGGAATTGTGCCCGATCTGACCCCACCACACTGAGGCAAAACATTAAGTGCATGCAATAGAACAGCAAGGGGAGCAGAGCAAGGAAATCCCAAGGGAGTGCCAAAAATAAACTTTGGGGCCAGGGCATGACACCCCATCAGACTCGACAGGAAAACACTCCGAAAGGCCAACAAACAGTCCTTGAACTATTTACAGGCTCTTTTTTTGTCATTGGTTTGCTGCTGTTATCGTTTTCTTTTCTTTTGTCGCTTTGTTTTGCTCTGTCTTGTTTTTGTGCTTATTATTATCTCTGCAGGTCTATCTAGATAAGATAGGCTGGATAAAAAATCTGGAGAAGAAAATGGGACCGATGGTTCCGGGGGGACATGGGAAAGGAGGAGGTGGGGGAAAGGAAATGCTGTTAACCAACCCAGGGAACTAGGGAACAACAAGTGATCCAAAACCAGTGGCAAGGAGGGTGTAAGAAGCCTGGTAGGGCTTGATCAAAGGCAATGTAACCCAGAGGAATTACTGAAACTCAAATGAAGGCTGAGCATGATAGTGGGACAAGAGGAAAGTAAAAGGAAATAGAGGGAAGCACTAGGAGGCAAAGGGCATGTATAGAAGTCTAAATATAGGCATGTACACATGTAAATATATTTTTATATAATGATGGGGAAATAGATCTATGTGCATATATTTATAGGTTTAGTATTAAGGCAGAAGATGGACATTGGGCCTCCACTCAAGAACTCCCTCAATGCAAGAACACTTTGTTCTACTAAATTGCCATTCCATGATGCTCACCTTCCCAACACTATTGCTGAAGACAAAATGGGTGCATAAGCAAATGTGGTGAAGAAAGTTGATGGTGCCTGGCTATCAAAAGAGAGAGTATCTGGGGTCTTAGAGGCTTGAAGATAAACAAGCAGCCATCTAGCTGAGAAGCAACAAAGCCCACACAGAAGCAGCACACCAGCCTCTGTGATCACGAGGTTTCCATAGGATCAGGTATCAGGCATCAAAGACCCAGAACAAAAAATCATATCATTGTGAATGAGGGGGAGTACAGATTGGGGACCCAAAGCCCATCTGTAGGCAACTGGACATGCCTTACAGAAAGGTCTCGGGGAAGAGATGAGCCAGTCAGGGTGCAGTGTAGCAACGATGAAACATACAACGTTCCTCTAGTTCTTAAATGCTTCCTTCCCCCACCCCCACTATCATGATCCCAATTCTACCTTAAAAACCCAGCTAGACCAGAGGATGCACATTGGTACAGATAGGAACTGGAAACACATGAATCCAGGACGATCACTTCAGGACCAGTGGTGGGAAAGGGCATACCTGGAGGGTGGGGGGCAAGTGGGGTAGAAAGCGGGAACCAATTATAAGGATCTACATATAACCTCCTTCCTGGGGGATGGACAACAGAAAAGTGGGTAAAAGGAAATGTTGGACAGTATAAGATATGACAAAATAATAATTTATAAATTATCAAGGGTTCATGAGTGAGCACGGAGTAGAGCGGGAGGGGAAAAATGAGGAGCTGATGCCAGGGGCTTACGTGGAGACCAAATATTTTGAGAATGATGGTGGCAACAAATGTACAAATGTGCTTGACACAATGGTCATATGTATGGATTGTGATGAGTTGTACGAGCCCCCAATAAAATAATTCTTTTTAAAAACTGGTGTTCTTGGTGCACACACACACACATATACACGTCCTGAGCCCCTACAAAATACCCATCCAAAGTCATGCAGAAACATTTTGTACCATCTACAGCCATTTAGCAATTACTAACATTTTGTGGTGATCTGGTGGGTGTCTTGTAAAGATGGCTCCAAAGCCCTTGGCAGGCAATCCAGTGTCCCTGAAAACGAGATAACAGTATTTTTTAAAAAAGACATATCAGCCTGGCAGTTTTAAACTTTCAAAGCCACATGTAAAACGAACGGGCCTGAATTTTTATGATGAGTATGTTCTGAAAAGGGCTTTATGTTAGACATCTTCGTGAACTTTGCAAACTAAACATTCCTGACAAACATGAGGTGATTCCTGCCTTTGGGCATGATTCCGGGGTCATTTCCCAATTACTATAAGATAAAACAATGCCTACAGCCTAGAAAGGCATTTTGCCAGGTTTCAGGGCCACAGAAATGACGAAGAAGCAGTCTCCCCTCTGCCACCCCCCACCCCCGGGGGGAACACACATACATAGAACTAACTAGAACATCAGTCCCATTGTTGTAAAGAACATAAGCAAACAGCTCAGCGTGAGCAGAAATCAGGAGAGTTTGAGGTGGAAGTACAGTTGTCTTTTCTGTAAAGTGCAGCTGTGCCACGGTATCTCTTTGCTGCTAATATAAACTCTAGCCTGTATGTTATACCTGCTCTGTAAGCAAAGAACAGGATTATGAGTACCTTTCAATAATCCCAGAGCTTAATGTATCCCCATTCAGTAAGGCCTTGCTCTTTATTTCAGCCATTTCTGTGTTGAAGCGAATTTGAGCCATCTGCTCATGTGTTTCTGATATCCAAACCTGGGAAAATAAATTAATGCCAAAAAAGGTCAGTTACTAACATAGATTTCTGTGGGAGTAATTTTGACTCCTTGACTCTGATTGGCATTAAGAACACAAGGAATAGATCTCACAACAGCCAACGATTTCATCACAGATAGGTAAAAATGGCAATTCCTTACCAAGAGAGGTTGGAGAAATTTTTAAAAATCAAATTAGTAGTTTCAATGAAGTGAAATGTGCCGCATTCAACCAAACACTCTGTCTTTGAGGGTAGACACATTTTAATTTCTCTAAAGCAAGGAAATGTTTGTTGCAATCCCTTTTGAAGCCATAGATAGTGTCATTGCTGTCATCACTACCATCAGGAGTCCTTGTAGCACACATTATCATAGAGGATACGTCAGGGAATTATCAAACAATTAGTACTGAGGACACCTGTACGTTGTGAGGTATACTCAGACCCCTCAAAGAAGTGCACGGGGTGTCTCGGGGATCTTGGGGACAACACTGAATAAGGAAGACTCCATGTCTTCTCCATCAGGAACTCTGGACATCACAATGCCAACAGTCTCAGGAGGGAGCCCAAACTTACCAACCCCAATAGGACCCATTTTCCCCCCGAATCTCAAGTCTAGGTTTCCCGAGGCATCCAGTGAAGTTCCAGGACATTTTAATCCTTCTAGAGTTCAGTTTGTTTTAATAGAGAGAGACCATTCTTTAGGGCCTTAGAGCCTTCAATAGCAAGAAAACCACACAGTTGTCACAATGTGTTAAAAAATGGTTTCAGAGGGGAAAAATGAGGACCTAATGCCGGGGGTTTAAGTGGAGAGAAAATGTTTTGAGAATGATGAGGGCAATGAATGTACAAATGCGCTTTACACA